AGTTTGATATGCTTTTGCTTTGTAAAATTTAGGATCTAATTGAGTGTGTGCATTTGGAACTGCAAGGTTGTTGTTGTCAAATGTGTGTTTTTCCTTCCTTTCTTTTCTTTTGAAGGCAAGGAGAGGAAGGGCAAAGTATTTTTTGTGGAGAGCCAGTTTGGTGTCGTAGTTAAAGCACCAGTCCTGCCTTTCTTGCGCAGCATCCATCTGGGTGACTTTGCCCCAGTTATTGTCCCTTAGCCCCAGGAAGGAGGCACCGGCAAGCGGCTTCCGAAAGAGGTGCCAAGAGTCAAGACTGACTCAAAAACACAAGAGAGATTAGGGGATTTCCCCCAGTCTTTCAAAGACAGAAAAAAGCCTTAAAAGGCTCCCCCCCCCCTTCTTATGACTTTGGAGGCTTTCGTTTCCTGAGCAGCAGAGAAAGTCTGAGAGAGTGCCGACTGCACAAGGATAAAGGCAAGAACCCGTGAAAGTAAGCTGTTTATAAACGTGGCAGGACTTGTTAGCTGTAAACGCTCCCAAAGAAAAAATTGGCAAACAAAGCAACACACTTTTGTAAAAATTGGGAAAGGAACAGTCCTCAAAATCGGAGTTGTGAAGCAGCAAACCTCAGCTGCTCCACCAGCTTAGGATGAGGATAGCAACGTGTCCCTGTCTCTGAGAACATGGAAAGATCCCTCTCCTACAGATGGAAGGGGTGGCCAAAGTCCCCCTGGGGAGACAATTAAAATTAGGGCTATTACCCCAGGGGGCCAGAGGCTGTATATTAAATTAGACATTTATTGGACAAAGAAACAGATCATCATAATAATGATAATGGCTTTAGTAGACACAGAAGCTGAGAATAACCTTCTGCATCAAGATCCAGTAAACTTTCAGGGACACACAGCTTAGATTGATGGCCCTGGGGGAGCCCTGAAGATCATCTTTTTCAATGTGTTCAACATGGAGGGGTGGGGAGAGGCTTGCTCCTTCCTCTAGTGTAAAAGTGATGGCAGTTGGCGGAATGGA